ATCCATAGAATCAGAGGCTGACAGCCCTTTCTGTGTCAATCAAAGGAAGGGTTAGAAAGAACCCTGATTAAAAATGAACAGATCTTCTACATCATTGTAGCTATAAGGAAGAATCAAGAAAACATTTCATTATGATATTGCTGCATAGAAAGTGTTTGACAAACTTGAACCTCTCAATTGAAAAGTCCACTTAAATGCGGCTCCTCAGGCAGTTACTTTTTTTCAGCAAGTCAAGGACCTAGAGGATATGGGGCTGGATCAGCTGAGAGGTTCAGTTTAAAACAAAGCATTAAAATAACAGTATACTTTAGAAGATAAGCTCTTGAGGAAGGTGACAGCCTCTCCTAGGGTGGGCTTCAGCTTGTCTTAATGATTGGCAGCAGTGGGTCAGGGATGCTTGGTATTTTTCAAAGAATGACACGAAGACAGACTTATTCTCTATCCAGTACAAATTTCAAAAAATGTCCCACCAGACATTCAGCGGAAAACCTACTTATAAATTAACTGAACCTAGAATCTAACTCAGCTTTCCATACAAATTCTCAAAATATTTTATATAGTTTTAATATGACATTTTTTCCTCATGAACCTGATTACCATATATATATGCAAAAAAAGATGGTGATTTGTCAGAACTTTGTAAGAATTGCTCACCAATTGCTTATGGTCTGAATGTCTGCCACCACCACCCCTCCCCCAAATTCCTATGATGAAACCTAATCCCTGATGTGATAATATTAGGAGGCAGGACCTTTAGAAGACAGAGTCCCCATGAATGGGATTATCGTCTTTATAAAAGAGACCCCACAGAGCTCCCTTCCACCGTGTGAGAACAGAGAGAAAAGACAGCCCTCTGTGGACTGGGAAGCTGACTCTCACCAGACACTGAATCTGCCAGACACCTTAATCTTGGACTTCCCAGCCTCCACAACTGTGAGAAATAAATTCCTGGTGTTTACAAGCCATTTAGTCTATGAAATTCTGTTATAGCAGCCCTAATGGACTCAGACACCATTTTGCCAACAATGTCAATGCTTCTAGTGATATGAGAGTCACAAATTGACATGCATATACAGTGTGCATGTAGAGCTGTCACATATATGGTAATTCCATATTGATGTAAGAATTTATTTTCATTATCTTTGACCATATAGGAGTGTGTCAGCATTTATAATGTTTTATTATATATTTCCTCTACTTCTTTTTACATTATAATTAGGATATTATATTAACTTTTTTTAATGAGTACACTAGAACAGGCCCCCCACTCCCCAGCCCCCTGTTGCCTGTTGGGAACCAGGCTGCATGGCAGGAGCTGGGCAGCGGGTAAGTGAGCGAAGCTTCATCTGTATTTGCAGACACTCCCCAGCTCTAGCATCACAGCCTCAGCTCCATCTCAGATCATCAGGCATTAGATTCTTATAGGAGCACTCGTCCTTGGTGCCAAAAGGTTGGGGACTGCTGCTTTGGGCATTTACCATATCTTTTAGACCTTTATATCTCTCACTACCTCTGGCATAGTGTGTTGATGTGGAACATATCCTACAAATATCTTGTTAACTGAGGTAGAACATAAAATAGATGCATTCCAAACTTGAGTGACTTGGGTTGTTGCTCCTCAGATAAATGTATCCACATGTGGCAGGCACATAAAGAGTGGTTCCTGCCTGTAGATTAGGAGCCACTAGGAGGTAGATCTCAAGGCCCTGGTCAGCTTTTGGAGAGCTGATTGTCTCCTGCATGGTTCTTTATCTGTGTTTTTGTTTGTTTGTTTGCTTTTTAGGATATCCACAGCAGAATAATGAATCATGGATTTTGGGTGGGCATTCTCTCCCTACTACCCTTGTTTTCTCAAGGGCTGAGTCGAAGCATATCCCCATGTCACAGCATTGGAGCTCTATGCTTTTGGGCACTGGTCCTCCCAACCGAGAGGCACTAGCAGAATGGATGAGAGTAGGAAGGAATTCCATATAGTTAGAAGAGAGATTGCAGAATATCCAGAAATAAAATGAAGGAATGCTTATCCTGAAAATGACAGATTATCAACTTGCATGTGACAGTACATCACAGATGGTAAAATTGGATTGGAGTGGGGTTTTTTTTTTTTTTTTTTGATTCCTTCTAATTAAAAAAAAAAAAGTTACCTTAATGAAGCTATAAAAAGATTAGGAGACCTCAAGTGGTTTTGATTTGTGAATTTTCAAATATATAATAAAAGTTAACACCCCATGTATATCAAACAAGAATACATTTGATGGAGTTAAGAATTCAAATTTGGCATGGTTTTAATGTTGGTCAACTGTTCAAGTACAAATAGCCAGAAGAGAAAACTAAGATGATTTTTATTGCTTTTAAAGGAACAAAGCTAGAAAAGCAACAAAGGGTCCTATGATTATATTGGCTTACTGAAGCAGATGGAACCTGTGGCTCCAGCTGACCTTCTAAAATGTTAAAAGCTTTATTTCTAGAAACATGCAGGGAAGATAAAGTGAAATATAAAAAGAAGATAAAAGTGAAGGTATTGGTAGTCACAAGATTGTAGTTGATGGAAGACAGTCAGCTTTTTTAATTGGTGCTTTTTCTAATGTAAATGTAAATATAAATCCTCCAAGTAAAGTGGTAACCCAAAATAAATAAATAAATGGTTAAATAAGCTAGTGAACCAGAAGTGCTGGGTTTTATTTTAGGTGTCTGTAAATTTTAAAGCAATACTTCTCTACCCTCTTATATCTAGTGCCCGTTTTGTATAATAAATATTTTATAAAGTTCCCTTTATACTCCTGAGATAACCTAGAGCAGCGGTCCTCAAACTTTCTGGCACCAGGGACCAGTGCTCCTATGAGAATCTAATGCCTGATGATCTGAGGTGGAGCTGAGGCGGTGATGCTAGCACTGGAGAGCGGCTGCAGATACAGATGAAGCTTTGCTGGCTTGCCCACCACTCACCCTCTGCTGTGTGGCCCAGTTCCTAACAGGCCACAGACTGGTACAGGCCTGTGGCCTGGGGCTTGGGGACCCCTGTCCCAAAGAACATGTGGTCTAGGGCAGGGCTAAATATACACACATTACTACTCTATAAGTCAGACTGTATGTAGTACTATAGATCTATAAGTAAATAATCAGAGAAAGATCAATGAGAACTATGTTTATTTAAGTATCATCATGGAGGAAGGTCATTTGAACTAGATTTTACAGGATAGGTAGAAAATGAGGAAATAATTAAAGAGTTTTAAATGGTGGAATAATATGATTCTATTTGTTTTAGAAAGATACTTATGGCAGTAATGCTGACAGTTATCTTCTACTCACAAAAATGATAAAGCTGTTAACCCAGTCCCTTTCCTTAAAATTAAACAACAAAAATCAAGACTCTACCACCATTGAACCATACAGTAATGTAAAACTGTGCTTCACTTAAGCAAAAGATTTTAACTGTATGTCAACTATGTACTAAGCACTGTGCCAGACACTAGAGATAGAACAAAAGAGAGTCCCTCCTTCCTTCTGAGAAGCTCTCATTGAGAGAGATGAATATATACCCATGTGATGGGCACCATAAAAAAAGGTAAGACAAAGAGCAATAAAACCCTTAGTCTGGGTTTTAAAGGAGGTACACTGGTGGGCCAGATGGAGGAAGAAAAAAGGAACATTTGGGGAACACTAGCTCACACATATTAGTCAAACACAAAGAATAAAAAAGATCTTATTTATAAAGAATACGTCAAATGACAAAAGATGGCAAAAGAGATTGGAGCAGCAGAAACCCACTGCTTAGAGGACAGACAAAGGAAGAACTGACAATGAGAGAAAATGACTAGAGGGCCAGGAGGAGAACCCAGCCAGCACAAAACAGAGTGAGGACCGCTGAAGAAAAAGAGAACGGTCATTAACAATAAATGTCACAGGAAAACATGTAAAGCCTGAAGCAAACCCATCAGACTTGGGGGGTGGGGGTGAGGGTGGGGTGGTGGTGACCACAGGAGTCGTTTGCCTGGGGAAGAGTGAGCCTGACTACGGAGACACAGTGTGAACTGACACCACAGTCACTGAATCTTGACAGTGAACACTGAAATACAAATTTTAATACAAATTTGTTTTTTAAAGAGCTGTGTATAATAAAAAGAAAAGATACAAAGGAATGAAAACATCAAGATGGAGTGATGAAAGACAAAGTATTTGATAATCCCATTTCATTCCAACACTGATTAACACTCCTAATAATATACGATGGGGTATTTCAATGTTGAATTTTAATTTTTATCTTGAGTTTGCAGGTGGCAAGATTTCACGTTTGGCAGTTTGACAGCTGTGCTAGAAAGGGTCCCAAGACCTTAGTAAGTATCAGCTAGACAGATGGTCAAGGCATAAAGACATTCTGCATCTATTTTTTCCCCCCTGGAGGTCTTTAAAACCAAATAGTGTCATTAGGATGTTAAGCTTATTCAGCACTTTATTATTGGGGTAGTCAAGGTGTTTTCAAAGCTCTCCTTATCTTTCTACCTCGGTAATAAAAAAAGACAAAATATCTGATCCACTCCACTAAAGATAGATAAAAATGAAAAAGCCAAAATATAAGCTTTGATAGGCTTAAAATAAAATTATTTTTTAAAAATAATAATCTTTTAAATCAACGTTCTTTGTTTTTGCTAAGTGAGTAGCATACAGGAATCAGGTAGGTGGTGGTGGTGGTGACATTTAAATATTGCTACAAATCAAACTGTTTGTCCTTATAAACACAGGCCTTATTTCCTGAGGCAGAAACACGAATGCCTAATGCTTTGCACTATATTTTTAGAGTCAATAAATAATCTATTTTGATGAGTAAAATCACGGGAGGGCAAACTCAAGTGGCAATAACATCAACACATGCACTAAGGTAGGAGGGAATTCACAATGTTAATCTTTAGAAAAAAACATAAAATGTTAATAATAACATCACAAATACAGTATTTCTTCATACTATAAGGAATTTAAGAAACTCTAGCATGAAAATCACTTACCTAGCTCTTCATTTTCAATGACTTCAAATGTGGCCCAGATATCATCTTTTGTAGGAATAATATTTTTTATTGCTAATATATCATTAGTTAATTCTTCTGCTTCCATCATTGGCGATATCTGTAAAAAAAAAGACAAAATTTAGTCAGACTATATGTCAGTTACAGACATAGCCTTATACTAGAGCATAGCCTTATACTTGCCCTAGTATAACACTTACAATCTACCATCTTACAATTCCTCAGGTTTTTCCAGGCATGTTTTACTAGCTTCTCTAAGCACACTGAGAAAACAGTCTGTTCAGATCTTGTCCATAAAACGTAATACATTTCAATGTGAGTGCAAAAAGATATTATGACATAGTATAGTCAGGACAAAATTTTTTCTCACATGCTGAGCAATCAGATCATTCAAGAGGGAAGAATATACCTAGTCAAACAAAGACTGTTACAAGATAGCAAATCCAATGGTCTTCCAGGAATAAAACTTTCTACCTATCAATTCTATAATCAAGAGTTCAGAGTGACTTGGTTTATTCAGCCCGATGCCTAAATTATACACAGTTGACTGCTGTCCACCATGCCAAAAGCCCTAGGGTTTTAGTGGTCTGTGGTGTGCCCTGCCATGCCAAGTGACAGATGGTGGGACACCAAAGTATGCTGAAACTAGGATTTCGGGGCATAGGGCAGAGTCTGCAATGCCAGCCTGGGGGCCAGCTCTACAAGAGTCCCAAAGCCTCAGGACATTACATGAACACTCCATTTTCTTCAGAAACTTTTGGGATTTTTGATTTGTTTCTTCTTGTTTTTGTTTTTGCCAACCTTAATTCCATGCTGGCTAAAAGCAAGCTGGCTTTCTTCAGTGAGAATTTAGTTATAATGTTAAACAAACATGTTTCAAGCATTAAACTATCCCGACTGCACATTTTCTATAAAAGTATGTACCTATTTAAAATTTTTCTTAGAAAGGGTATGTGCTCATTTCCATTTCTCCTGTCCATTACTGAGCATAAGCTTATTGCACATATAAAAATAACATATTATTTTTCATTACAGGTAACTCATATGGTCTATCTTTTGGATTTTGTGGAATTTAGTGCTTCCTTTGAAATACATTAATTATAAAGTTAAGTCCACTGTTTTCCATTTAGTAAAGGCAACAGTATAAACTTTAAAAAAAGCATCTGGGAAATGTGAATTTTAAGCGGTAGAAACATTAGTAGATGAATCATTTCAATGATGCTATTTAACGAATGACTTCAAATTTTTTAAAGAAATATAGCTCTTTCTCAAAATAATAAATTACTGAGCAACCAAGCAGGGAGTGCATCTCAGGCTGACATAGGAGAGGAAGACTGGAACTCCACTCCTTGTCCCAGGAAAAACCCAAGGCCCCTCTTCAGAACACCTAGAACTCCACAAAGGACACTCTGGAAATTATTACACTAAAGAATATATAAATCCATGTAATGAACATCGGGTTTGGAATATGATAATCCAGGTTTGAGTTCTGGCTTTAATTTTCTTAATTTCCAGTTTCTATCCACATAAACTTGAAACATTACCTGCTTCATCTGCCTCCTTGGGTTGAGGTAATGATCGGTTAAGACAAATGTAACTAAAGAGTTTTGGCAAGTCTTAAGCATTAAGTAAATGTTTATGATTATTTTTGTATAGTTTTTACAGTGTTTTTAAAGAGAATTTGGAATTGTAAGATGAAACAAAACAGTCCTTTATCTAAATACTATACTTAAAAATTTTCTCAGTTGTAATAACCTTTGTTATGGCTTCATTAGTAAGATTAAAATGAGCTACTAAAGAATTTAGGTATAGATGGAATTAAGTCATAGGCTATGAGCACCAATTCTAACATTAGTAACAGACTTGAGCTCATTAATCTGTACTACTTCCTCAAGTACCCTGGTATCAACCTCACACGATCAGCATAAGAAACAGGATGTGGCCAAAGAGTCATGAGAGCAAAGTCTATGATCAAAGTAGTTCAGCTCCATGTTCTAAGGAAGGTAACCAGTGCCATAGGGTTTTAATATGTAATTATTAAAAATATATAAATTAACAATTATAATATATGCTTAACAAAAGTCTAGAGATATCTAATACTGTTTAATCTTGAGCTTGAAAAAGATGAGGCGCTAAAGCTGAATTTCTATTGCTACATGGCAGAATGTCTATTCCTCCTACAGAGAATGTATTCGTACTAAGTAGAGATCTGAAATAACACTGTTACTCTTCCTAAGGCAGACTAAGTACTGAATATGGTAGCATGAGAGGGATCTTTTTAATTCAGAAAAAATAATTAATAGTCTTAAGAAAGAAAAGAGTTATCCAATAGTCAAGTAAATCGGAAGACTTGGTAGCTAAGGTTTAGGATACAAGAGTGGGGAAATAATAACAATAATTATTATCAGTATTATAATTATTAGAGTAGTAGTAATAGTTATATTTATTAAACACTGATATGCTGAGAAAACTGTAATTTTTCCTCATTTTACAGGTGAGAATATTGAGGCTCAGATGAATGTTAAGAAGGAGCAAAAATTTAAGCTCAGGCTATTTTCTAGAATATATAGAAAATCCTAATCTTAACCCAAAGCACATAAGATGTTCCCTTTTCAAATGACTGAAACATGGAATTCTCAGAGGATATTGGAAAAGTCAATCCTGTCATCAGTCACAATTTTAATTATGCATGTAAAAGGAGCTATAAGAAACAATGGAAAATTCAAGACGTGAATTAATGATAACACTTGTGATTTGCAAAAGTACTCTTTACATCTATCTTTAGGACTCACCCGAATTATAATACTGCAGTCAGGTTCCTTCCTTTCTACATACACTTCAATTAACAAATCTCCAGCCTGGGAAACCTAGAAAAGGGCAGATGTGAAAATACCCAATCTAAGTACATTGCAAGAACACACACGTGACACTTAACACAGACGTCCTAGTTCTACTTCTGAGCGTTTTATAACAATGAAATGAGCCGATCTTCCTGTTAATAGCATGATGATACCCACTTTCCAAACATGATTGATTAAGGACAAGGAATCTACACAAATATTACAATCAGTAACAACAGTCACAATGATGCTTTTTTCTTTAAATCTCTTACTCAAAGTTTAGCGTCCTCAACCCTTACATTCTTACTGAAATAATGATTCAGCCACAATGAAAATATGATGACTATAGCAACTGAAGTTCTAAGAGCCATCACCATGGAACAGGATAAACAACATGCGCAGGGAAAATGAGCCACATGTAATTCTGCTTTAAGACGTAGTGTGGGCATAATATTGATAATTAAAAGGCAAAATAGGTCTTGCTAAATTTTCAGAGATGATCTGTCCAAAAATTGAAATCTGAGGATGAATTAAGTCAGAGTTGTATTAAAACAACAAACAGAGAAAGTATATTTAGCAAGAAAAAATAAATGTAAAGTGATAAAATAAAGCAGATAATAAACATAAGTTTTTAATCATCTTTAGCCAAGCATTAGTGCTATTTGGGGGCACTATTATACCTGAGAAGACATACTAAGTGAAGAAGATACAAGCCAGAAGAAAAAAGCATAAGGTATCACTATGTAGAGATTGACAGCATAATGTGGAGATTACAAAGAATAATGTGGAGATTACAAATGAACCTGTGAAAAACGCTGAGCAACTTTTTTCGGAAACTCTCTTAAGTTGAATAATATCCATCATCTAATTAAAAAAAAAAAAGATGATGGAGAAACAATTATTCTGAAGTTAAATTTGCCTCAGAGGAAAACCTAACGAGTAAATCTGTGGGGAAAACATTAAAAATGCACTTTGAAGAAATATTCTTATTTATTCTGACACTACAGACTTAGGAAAGCTTATTTCCAATTTTTCTTTCTCACTTTCGATGCTACACAAAAATTTTAGGGAAGCATAGATACAGTGACATTTTTACTTTTCACTGTTTGCATAAACAACTCTCCAGGAAAGACACATTTTAAAAATTAAAAAAGCAAACACTACAAACTCATAGGGTGAAGCCAAAACACAAGCACTGCTAAGAAATTCAAACAAGGATAAGACAGAAAGACTGTCAGAAAAATACTCCAATGGAGAGTTGGATGAAATAGAGAAAAGCTCAAGCAAAAGAACACATTTTTTCCAAACACTTCGACTTTCCTTTCCCAAATATCCTACTTTATAGATAATTCTTTTATTTTGCTTATTTATACTTAATTAGAAAGCATTTAAGACTCATTTATTATAATATGAATACAAAAGATAAAAAGGCAGAAGGGTACTCATACTTTAACAATACAGAAAATGTTGCCAAAGATTATCCCCTGGGCTCACACGCTCCCTTACTGCATGACTGAAACTCTCCCAAAAAAGCAAGAATCCAAGACAGCAGCTAACTGCTAATGAGCCAGACTTTTTCCTGTTACAGCTAACTCCTCCGGAGGCTGCATTAATTACTTTGGGTCAAAATGGAGGAAATACTTCTTCAAGTAATTAATATCACAGTATTAGTACTAGGGGATCTAGGCACTAGAAGGAAGGCGTTTTCTCATCTCCTTCATAAGGAATGATAGCACTGATGACTATTCTAGTTAGCAGTGGATATTTCAGGAATGAGGTGAATTTAGGGTTTGACTAATAAGCTTTCGAGCTTCAATCTCTGAGTGTATTTCATAAATAGAATATAGTTGACCCATTTCTGTTGTTTGAATTGGTACCTTGAATCTATTACAATCCTTAGGTATTAGAAGAGGATTAAAGAGTAATTTTAAGCAAGTCCAATGAATAGTCATCAAATAAGGAAAGGTCCCCTTGAAAAGTGTAATGCAACCTGAACCCACAAATCCAATGTAATGTGACTGAGAAAAGCAAGAAAAAATCAGAAAAGTCAACTTAAGACATAAATTAGCATATGTTAGATCACACAGAAACATTCCGGCTGACACAATCATCCAAGAGCAGGCAAAGCAAAAGCATGTAAGAAATAATTTATATATTCAAAATCATAACGGAAAGAATCATTAGGGAGTCTGAATTTTCAATTTACTCTAGTATTTTTGGCTTCAAATGCTTCCTGTGAAATCCACTGGCAATTTCAATAGTGCTTTTATAAATGAGAACTTATAAGGGAGATTTTATAAGGGATACTTGATATTTTATAAGGGATACTTATCAAGTATCCCTTATAAATGAGATTTTATAAGGGATACTTGATAAAATTAAAACTGATTTTTCCTTCTGTATTTTGAAAAATTTACTTTAACATACTTTGGAAATTTGTATACATGCACCATGCTGCAGAATTACACAGCTATTTTATCTTGGTTCCCTTTGCCCATTACTTTTACTTTGCTTCAAATAGAAACTTGAAAATAAACACAACAATTGTCTTTACTTACAATAAAAGTTTGTTTTTTGTTTTTTTTTAATATTTTTTTTCCCTTTGGAGATCTAACTATTACTACTCACTTGAGTGTCTTTCCACTTGGTAATAAAGCTATTTTCTATGTCCATTTGTTTGACTTGATCTTCTGTAACCTGTTTAAAATATAATTTGGGACATTCTAATAAAATACAAGGAGTGATGGTTCTCATCCTCACATAAGTTTCTTTAGGAATTTAAAGACCGACAAGTATAAATGAATGAGAATGGCCATCTTAATCAGTGTGGACCCACACACCTAGGGCAAAAACAGAGCCAACGAGATGAGCTTCATAAAGGTCAGAACATTTTATTATGATACCATTTCAGGCTACAGATCCTACCAAGGAAGCCCCTTTGCTAAGGCGATTTAATAAGCAAGGGGCAGATGACTGGTTTGTTAGAGTTTATGTAGACTGAGAGACAAGACTTATTTCTCAAACGAAAATGTTCTGTAAGTGAATATGAAATTTCCACCATTAGTTAAGGTTGGATTTAACAAAGCTATGAAGATAACCATTTATTTTTATTAATGGAACAGTACAAATATAAAAACTAAAGAGAGCATGCAAAGCCACACAGTACTTTTTTTTTTTAATTCTTTCATTTCTCAGCATCAGATTATTGCACAGAAGTTGCTACTGATCAAAAACAGTGGACACATACAGAAAGAAATAAAAAGATCGAAGAGCAAAAAGAATTTGACAACTCTGGTGTCCATTCCTATATAAATTAAGATACAAACTGTGTTATTTTATAAAAATACATTTTCTTTCCCTTTACTACTTAAGTAATCTTGTGATAAGTTATTATAAGAATGTTAGAACTTTACAAATAGTAACCTATTACATTAACCCATTTTATTTCATCTGGTATATCTAAGCCCTGGAAAACATGTAATTGTATAAAACATCACTTAATGGAATGCTCAAAAAGGTTAAATGACAAAACATGCCAAAAACAAATGATGGCACTGGACCTCTGACATATATCAGGACCTTTGACTTGTATTCCCTACCTTTCCCACATATTCAAATCCTGGGCTTATTTCCTCATTTTTACTTCTTTAAACTAAGAAATTATCCCTATTCTAACAGTTTTCTGATGAAACATGAAAATATTAACTTCATAAAACGGCGAACTGAAACGTCAAATAATTAGAATAACTAGAGATGACTTAGTAAAAACCACAGAATAACATTTCAGAGTTTGTTTTTTCCAATTCAAGCAGAATTAAAAGAAAACACTAAAATGCTTTCTTTTCAACTGCAGGATTTAACGGCCTGGTGTTTATTATCAAATTTGTAAATTCATAAGTTCACACCTCTAAGTACACATACTTAATGCGTACACATACTGAGGAAGCAAAAAAATATATAAAAACACTATAAATAGAAATATTCTATCCAATAGGCAGAAGATGATAAAAAAGCTTTCAGAAACAGCCAAATTTAAAAAGCTAATTATAGCTGAAAAATTAAAGATCATATATAACTATCCTTTATTTTCTTCATTTTAAAATATTCATAAAGACCTGAATAAAAACATCCAAAAATATATATTTTTGTTTGCAAGCAGTAACATCAAAACTATTTTAACAAGAAATGGGATATAAAATATTTACCTCAAATATTTCAACATAATTATCAATTAAGTCCTCGATGACATTCACTTCTTCACTAGTTTGTCCTTTAGTTTGAAACAAACAGGATGAAAAGGCCAAGGCCAAGTTATGGGTGTTCATGTGATTGATTTCTGAGCATTTCTGAACCCTGTTAGAGAAAAGCGTAGCTCATTATGACATACTTCTTTTTGAAAATTTTATAGAACTATAAGTCATAATATCCATTTATCATTTTCTTTTAGCATACACATATTGAAAGTCTCTGATATACGAAGTGGAGTGATTTCAAGTTCTTTCTTCCAAGTAGCTAAGAGTCTAGTCAAGAACACAGAAAACTAGTGTTAAAGAAGATATTACTACAAGTTACAAAGCAGTACTTGAGTGCTAATTTAGAGGACGAACTCACTATATCCAAACAATTCTAGAAAATGGGACAACCTGAGGCTAAGACATAAAGATGTGCTTGCAGAACGGTATGGAATGATTTGTGGGACTGCAGCATAAATGAGAGAGGGAAAAGGAAGTAATAGCTAAGTAGGAAATAAGGCAAGAAAGGTGAATTGGGAGACATATAGTGGAGAGTTCTAAATTCAATGTTCAGGGCTGGGCTGGATTTTCCAAAAAGTGCATTATCAGGTGAGAAAATACCAAGCAGCAAATGTCCATTTGGTTATTCAAAATAAGATAGTAGCTCTCAAAAAGTAATTGCCTAGTTTAGAAAGACAACTATACTTTTCTTTGATATAACGAAGAATGACTTTTTATAACGAACCGATGAATCAACTCTCCCAATCAGCAGGCTACTTTTGGGTCTTAGAAAGAGCACTTAAAGTATTCACAAATCTAAGTTCAAAGAGATTAAAAACAAAACAAAAAACTACAGCCATCACCCTAATAAAAGGATATTTACATTGATAAGAATGCATGAGATGGGAGCACTAAGTGATACACATGAAAGTATCTATTAATGTTATTTGTCACTGGCTATGTATAGGGCAGCTGCTTGTTTGCCTAATTACATTTGCAAACTTTTAGAATACACACTAAACAAGGGAGACCAACTCAATCAAAGGAATAAAGCAAGACTAAGGTAGGCACACCTGTCTTTTAAAGCAGAAATTCTAGTAGGTTCAAGAAAACGTGAGTAAACATGACAGCAATATATATGATAATGTAAAAAACTTATAATAAAATGTCAAATGGCATAGCGGAGATGGAGCAAGTGCAATCATCCTATATGATTTAGAAGATGCAAAAAGAATTACAAGTTGATAGAGAAGAATGTAATAACTGTGGACACCCCTCTCGAAACCACTTCTGTACTCCTATCACACTATGCTGTAAACACCTGGAAAATTTATCTGCATGCATGCCTCTGTTACTGGAATCTAAGTGTCTCACAGGCAGCGAGTGCTGCTTTAATCACACTGTAGTGCGTAATAAATATCTGGTGAATGGAATTAAGAAAATGTTAGTCACGAGGAAGTAATCTTTTATCTAAGGCAGGAATGGAATTAAATGCTAAATCAACCTGACCTCATCCAAAGGGACCTCAAATTTTTGATGATACTAATCAAACATTCCCACCTTTCGAGACTTCCTTCTGCAAAAGCATTCTCCTTTGGTACTCTTCACCTCTCTTTTTACTTTCTGTTTCTGCCTTAATTTCTAGCAAAAGTAGGTACAATATAGTATTTCCCTTTTCTTCCTTTATTTCTCCACCCCCACATGTCAGCGTTTCCCAGGTTTTCATATTCTGCTGCTCAGTCTCTTCTCACTCAGGCCTTATCCTCAGAAGCCCAAGAAAGCTGTTTCCTAATCAGTTTCTCTGCCTCTAGTCTAACCTCTCCCCAACCCATCCCATTACAGGGGTTGCTATTCTAAAACAGATTTGACCAGTCACTCGTCACTTAAAGAAATAAAACCCAGATGTTTTTGCTTGAGTAACAGAGCCTCTCACCTCCTGCCAGGCATCTACAATCTCATTTTCTAGCATGGCTATTTCCTAGAAAATATTTTTTGCTCATATCTCATACTTATCTTTCTTTCATGCCCAGTTCCTATCTCTCTTTAAATCAGAAGCATCCCCTGGAGCTGAACACACAATGAATGACTCAATCTCTCCTCTAGAAGTCCATGTCTTATGCTAATATTATCTGTATTAAAACCTGTCCCGATGTTGCTGTGTTTCCTTAAAAAATATAAAATGCCCCGCAGCACCCCTGGGAGTTCACTGTGATGTCCCAGGGCTCCTTGGTGCTCAGTTCAGGAACTGCTGACTCAAAACTATTTGTCATTTATGTATTATTATTAAATATTTTTGTTCACATGGAATCTTAAAACGCATTGTCCTCTACATAATAGAAGCTAAAATATATGTTAGGTGAAGAAAAGGAGGAAGGAAAGGTGGGAAGGAACTCGTCATCTCAAATTCAAATCTGAATTAAGAATTTCAAGAATAATGATGTGTAACTCAATGTTTAAAATGTTCACTTAATAAATTGTGGCAGCTGGGTCGCATTAAAATTTTTGATGAAAAAAATCTGTCTCAATGTCTCACAGGCAACATAGAGATAGGACTATATAATATATAAGCTAAATTTATATGGTACCATAAGAAAATAAGTTTTACAGTAACAAAGTTTACATGTATGAGAAGTGGTGGTTGGCAAAGAAAGATGAAGAGATAAGCTGTGAAAAATTTCTAAATCTAGACTCCAAACAAGGTACTTTGAGGAGAATTTTCACAGAAATTTATTCAAGGGAGTACTGCATCCATGCAGGAAGCTACGACAATATATTCCTTAAGCAATATTTCATACTTGGTAAAGCCTTTGTAATAATTTTTGCTAATAGCAAAACAAACCTTTTGTTTTAACATTAAAGGTTATTTTCAAACATCCTCATCCTTCAGCTATTATTCTTCGAGCTACCATAATATATCTTCTATCCTCCCAAATACAGGGGACCACATGCCCTGACATAGACGGTTTTTGACTTTTAAAATTTCTTCATCTGATCAACAGTCCGACCCTGACATATTAGAGTCAGGTTAGGTATAAACCGATAATAGAGTTTCTGAAGAGTCCACCATGAGAAAATGCTTTTCCACAGACAGATTCTGCTATAGAATCCCCATCCCTATACTTTCTTCTCTTCCCCAGCTTCCCTCTAAAATGAATTTAAAAATTCTTGCTTATACACTGGATGTATTTGAGGATGCTGTACATGATTATTTTTAATTCATTTAAGAAACTTTGCAGTGCTATTTATCTGAAATGCATCTTAATTACAGAAAGAGACATTAAAGTGATAGCTTAATAGGAATTTCATTTTGAAACAACTCAAGATATGATGAAAGATTCATGGTCACATGCACAAGGTTAACTACAGTACTTTAAATTCAAGAAATAATTACATATTAAGGGTCATGTTTGAAATGAACTAAAAAATTCATGAATCCACCTACCTGTAAAGGTGTTCAATAACAGCTGCCAATGTTGCTCGGTTGACACCTGGAAGAGTATGTATAAATGCTCTATATTTTTTAATTCTTTCCTTGTCATCCTGGGTATCTAGAGGTTCCAAAAAAAAAAAAAAAAAGAGGCCTAAAATAGTAATCTGTATTATAAATTTGAGGCCTAAAATAGTAATCTGTATTATAAATTTTAGCAATATTTTAAAACAATATTCACAATCATATTTCACTAAGTGATACAATCAAGTTTCAACAGAAAAATATTTGAACTTCTATAATTATGAAAAAGTATTTCCATAAACATTCCTAGGCTATATGCTATAGTTCTTATACTATGTAATTAAAAATGAAGCACTTTCTAAACCCAGAGTTGTATTTTATCTTCTACTTTAAGGAACATCAAACTTCACTTAACAGAAATTTATTCAATTAATAACCCAGACAGGAGTGCAAATTATAGATATAAGCCAAAAGTATTTTAACTCTGGCTATAAAAAATATCTCACTACCTGTATTTGAAAATGACATTTCTGATCTTTTTTCCCCTTATGAAATCATAAAAAATCTTTCTAAATCTAAAACCATCCCAGAGCTATGAACTGTGCACTACCCTGCAGATTCATGCAAAGGAACTTTTACCAGCCCTCTTACCTTCAACTCCTTGGAAAAGGTAAAGGGACAAGAGAAAAAGCCATGTGCAGACTCTGATACTATGACACTGACTTAGAGGAGGATGGACCCTCTGAATTTGTCACAGACGGAACTTGGTTAGTCATGGAGAGGAGGACAAGAAGAGATTACCTTCCACTCTCCTAACCCCAAGAAGTCAAACACTTGAACAAACTAGACATAGGAACCCCCAAGTTCTGGTCTCTAGAAGATGTGTAGTGGTGGTTCAGTTTAACCTACGAGATCACAGGAGAAATAAGAGACCTTTCTTCAAATAAATAACTTGTGCTGACTCCGTAACTCAAGGGGATTGCACTTATATATTCCCTCTCAATTCCCAGCTACCTTTAGAAACAAGACTTTTTCATTTTCTGCTTAGCTCTAACTATTTTATCCACAGAAAGCCAGAAGCACATTAATGATTCTTTAAAAATACACTGTCACTTGCAAAGGACATGATGATCCCTGGGGAGGTAAGAAACTCTGTGACACTTTGAAGTTTACTCCTATTCAAAACTGCAACAGATCTTTTCGTACTGATTTAGCCTGCACGTGAGGTCTAAAAGTAAACATCATTTTGTCTTAACTGTGCTGGTAGATGACTCTAAAAGCAAGAGGGGAAAACACCCATATAACATTCAGAGACTATACTAGAAGTGAATTAAAAATTAACTATCATTCCTAGTGAAATCTAAACATTTGCCTTCAAGTCGTCTGGTTTCTAACTATAGAAGTAATTGCATTTATTCCATAAAATATAATTAATACCATTACACTTATAACAAGAAGTCACACTAGTAACAGCATATTTTCACAAATCCTACAGAAATAAAATAGATGACATTTTGAAAACAAAGCTTAAGCAATTAGGAAGTAGAACGTAAGCTAGAGCTCAGATCACACAGAAAATACGGTGAACTATTCAACTAGCCACAGACATCAGACAATTTAATAGTGTTCTTAGAAGAATAGATCATGTATAATATAAATAGGTCACATGCTACTGTAAGGCTTTCTTTGCCTTGACTGCACAAGACCCAAGAGAGCTCTCCTCTGAGGTCGCCCAGATTGTTCTGGTTTAGTCTTGTCAGATCCAACATAGGGCACTTCTGAGAGGTCAGGGTGAGCTACATTGGAACTAAAAGCAAAGGACTTTAAGGCTATTTGACTCAGTATTCAAAGCCTTCTCTAAGTAAATTCTCAAAGAATTCATATCCAAGAGAAAGGTGAATACATTCCTCTCTGACACATGGTATCATTTTCCAACTACCTCCTGCTGACAGACTGACATTAAAGATATTTTTGTCACTAAATTTGAAACTTCAGCAAAAGCATATTTGACAGATTTTTGATCACTAATTTTACAATAAAGAAACTGTAAGTCTTTATAAAATATACTATCAATAACTTCATAGTTATAAATGAAATAAAATCTTTAAAACAAAAATGAGGGTGGCATGGTAAGAAGGCTTAAAGAGATACAATTATATATGTAATATAATTCCATATCTCATATTGCAGAAAATTATACTTCACAACACTTCTTGTGATTAGAGTTAAACCAATTGATTTGAGAAATACCAGGAAGCAAATAAAAGACTTCCGAATTAAGTAGTTAAATTGTGAAAAGCTTTAATAACGATACTAAACTTTTCTTGCAGACACTAATAAGGGTCATTCTTGAGATTTTTCAAACTGTGGGTGTTTTGTGATGTTTTAAAAATTAATACCTTCAAATATCATATTTATGTTTTAGAGTAAACAAATATTTTCAAAGAAAAATTCTCTCTCAACAGAGGAATATCATATAATCAAATTCAAAGGTCATTTTCCAAAAAAATTCTAAAGCAGATTAAAGGTGCAAGAGAGAAATATATTAGTAAATTATGATATAATTCAATGACAAATTTTAAAAACTGAAAAAAATAAAGATTGAAAATCATTTTTAAAGCACTGTAGCTAATGGAAAATGTGATTTATTAATAAAGTAAATATTTATATATAAATTATAGGTATGAGGCAAGACTTAAAGTAATATGTAAAAATGAAAACAGTTCTATTAAGAAAGATGGGATTAAAGGCAATTTTATATTTCTAAGTTGTTATTGCGGTAACATTTCTATAACAGGAGTTGTTTTGAATGGATATAAATATATCCATAAAATATATATATATTGATTTACTGAAATCGATTTGACTAAATTAGTCATTTAATAAACTACTTCTCCAGGGTCATTTCTTAAATAGGTTCTCTTATACTGTAGCAAAGCTTTTTGACGTCATTAGACAGAATCTAGGGAAATAAAGATAGAAAGAGTAAAGAATTATTATTACATACCCTAAAGAGAAAGAATAAATGATAGAAAAAAGCCAAAAGAGCCATATAGAGAAATCCTATAAAACTAATCTTGTATTAAACCTTTAATTTTAATCTTAATGAGAAATTAATAGCATACATGGAGTTCACTATAACACTTTCTAAGTTCAAGCAGAGTAAGCACTAAGGAAGCTACTGAAAACTAAATATATAAAACATTACGTATCAATGATTACCACAAATTTCTTCTGCGATAGATATAAACAAATATTGACATATACACAATTTCCTGTCTGAATCTTATGTACATTGTTCTATTCAGTTAAATTTTCAAATTATCAAAGATTTTAAAAATCTAATTATCCAATGAAAAGACAAGCACTTATGATGGTGCATATTTATATATATTACCTAAAGCAGAGATCCAGTATGGGTAGAGCTCCTTGGTAAGAAGTGCATCGTCAGTGTCAGAGAGAAAACTTTTCAAAACGTCTGTCACATCTTCAAGTTGATGTTTTCCAGCCCTCAATTTAAAGCTTCTTGCATCTTTTTTGAAACTCTCTAGGAGTTCACTTACATGCAAAGAATCACCATTCTTTTGATAGATATATTTGCACCCTAAGCCTTTGTTAAAAAAAAAAAAGTTACATGAAAAAAAGTTTAAGATTAAAATCCACTTTGATATCTTAAAAATAGATCATATTTTTGTTTTGAGATGATGAACGATACAAAATCATTATCTGAGAGTTAATAAAAATATATATATATATCATTATCCAAGAAGGGAAAAGGCTTGTCCTCTAATTTTAGTATTTAAAATGTAAACAAGATAAACTATTCCATTCTCACTTTTAGCAAGACTCTGGTCAGCCTTGCCCCCAGTCCTTCATAGTATCTTTTTCAAATATTCTTTTATAGTAAGTGTCCTATCGTCACTTAGTCCCCAGAATACAAACCTGCCTCCATTTTCACTGACAATACACAAGGTTCTCTGGTATAATTTTTTTCAATTCTTTACATGCACGCACACACACACATACACACATACACACACACACACACATTTGTAAATCTGTCTGTTCTCATTTTCACTTTCTAAATAAAGAATTGGGCCATCTCCTTTTTAAAATTATTAATTCACCAAGTGCCTCATATAAAATAAGAGGAATAGTAGTGGTTAATAGTAGGAGGAGGAGTGATGATGGCAACAAAGAAGATGATACAAAATAAAAACCCTCCCTCGTTTCTCCCAGGTCTCCTGTCTCTCTTCCTTCCAAAACCAAGCTGAGCTTTCTATATTTATTGTTTCTACCATCTCACATCCCTGTTCATTCTTTAACCACTCAATCTTGCTTCTGTACCCAAGTCCCACTCTATTAGGACGACCTTTATCAAGAATATCAATGACTTCCTAGTTTCTAGATGCTTTTCGGTTTTTATCTAATAAGAATCCCCTGCACTATTTGATACTCCAAAGGAATCCCTGTTAAAATTATTTTAATCTCATGGCTTTCATGGGATTATGATACCAAATCTTTTTTCCTCTTCTTCAATGGCTACTCTTCCAATCCACCATTAATTCCGCTCATCTAATATTCACTAATAATTCCAGGAATCAATCCTCAATTTTTTCTTCCAACTCCCCTCCCTACCCACTCAACTTCATCACTTCAACTACTACATATACATTTTCATGCAGGTTTTAATTTCTAAGATTTCAAATACACACACACACACACACACACGCATTTTAATAAGCATGTATCATATGCATGCCACACACACACTTATACATGTGGACAAATCAAAATTAACTAGAGGAATTAATTTTCCTTCCTCATTCACTAACTCACCTTCCACTCTCAACATGTTCTTTATCTTGTTCCTCTATCTCTCTATATGGCATGGCCTCCTCCCTAAGCCCTTTCAAGTCAGAACCTTTCTTTCTCACCACATTTTTCTAAAAAAGTATTATGTCATATAGAGTTTCATCATGACCTCAGTCTCAACTTTCCCCTTCTTTCCATCCCACATGCTGTTACTTAGTGCACTCAATTCCTCACAACTCTTGCCCGCTCTTCTTGTGCAGCCCTCCAGGGTGTCTCGACAATAATTAGAGTGTGATCTAAGATACATACAGGTCTACTGGTGTTACTATCATGCCTAAAAATCTGGATACCACCCTCTCACTGCCTGTAAGGCAAGACTGAAGATTTTACTACACTCTATAAGATGCACCATGAATTAGCCTAATCTTCCTTTCTCTTTTATCTATCCCTTCTCCTCACACTAAGTTCTGGCCGCACTGAACAACACGAAGTTCCCTGCACAGACAATGCTCCTCGTAACTCTACACATAGGCACACACTTTCCTTCTCCTCATTCTAATTAGCTCCTATTTTCTCTTAAGACTCATGGTAGGCACCATGCCTCACCCATGAAGCCCTCCATGATCACCCCTACTCTGGGTGAAATTTACCCCTTTAACACATGGAAGCCTGGACCAAGCCCGGAACCTCTCTACCGTAGAATTTTGTGAACTTGAGATGTAACTGTCTGCCACTTGTCTTTGATTCTCCTGGAAGGGAGGGGTCGTGCTTATTCTCTGTATATAGCAGCTACACATTGCCTAGAAGAATTCAGCTGGTATTCAATAAATGACCACTTAATGCAAGAATAAGCAAATTACACAAAAAACAATTATGACTAAGTTCCTGAGATATTAGTTTCCTGGTTGAGTGAATTTTTGATAGCTGGTACTCAAATAAGTTAACTTAATATGAACTTGAACATAATTGTTTACATAAATTAAAATAATTTCCCCCAAGAGCTAACTACTGTAACTCACTTAAAAAATTAGAACTCCAAAAAATATACCATGAACTTGGTCAAGCTCGAATCCTGACACAATGAATACCAAAAAAATAAATAAATAATTGGCCTTTAAACTTTAACCCAAAAGTAAGGAAGTTCAAAATAAGTTTGACTTTACAGGCTCTGAGCCAACCAACTGCATCCTATAATGACTGGGCATTTTCTACGTTTATATTAAATTTCTATTCTACATGTTGATAACACTGGGGTTTCCCCCATGTTCTGCTCATTAAAAAACAAAATAAAATAAAGAGTCTTTCATTGGCTTTATTACTTTAATATGCAAGTTAATGTACCTTGTGTTAGAGTTACAAAGTAGTTATAATGTATGAAATTTAGTTGAAAACAATATAATGCTTAATGATTTTAAATTCAAATAAACACCACAAAGAAACTTCTGATTTCCCTAGAGAAACATTAAATTAGATACACTGGAGCTAGTCAAGTTATTTTAATCATTTGTCAGCTTCAGAAGACTCTATGCCATTATGAAGCTAACGTGATGTGAGAATTCTCAATGAGGTAGGTTATGCTCTTGCTAAAACATAATATGTGTGCAATTCATTTATACCTGTGAGATGCAAGTGCACTAATAATGAATAAGTAATAAAGATGATAACCTTCTCTCTCTCTCATTTTCAAATAAACAGATGATTACAGCTGATAAAAAATATAAACATACTATCATAGAAGGGGATTTCATATAATAATTTGATTAAATGCATATTTACAGTAGACATAATTAAAAAACAATGAATTTGAATATTAATAATTGTACTTGTATTATTTATGAAATAATTAAAATACTTAAACTGATACTCTTCCTAGAAGAAAAGAGATTAACATACACAAAATAAATTTCCAAATATTATTTTCTTCATAGGCGTTGTTATTTGATATTATGTTGCATATCAGCTTACTATCAGTTGTCATGCTTAAACAGATGATTCACGGATTTGTCTTTAACTTTTTACCACTACTGCTGTATTTTCAGTACTAAGATCGGCAACTGGCACACAGATTCTCAATAAGTGAGTAACAAATTAATAACACAGTGTTTTACTGCAGTTCTCTCACTGATTACACTTTCTTTTCAAATTAAAAACAGTCAAAGACATTTCTAATTTTAGAACAAAAAAAAAGTTAATATACCTTCCAAAATACCAGATCAATCATTTCACTCTTTTCTACATTTGTAATCTAAATCAATAGCATTTATCTTCGGATTAAAAGACAGAAACATTTTATATTAAAAATGCAGTTAAGAAATTTCTACTTTTTAGAGTATTAAGGAAATCTGCAACAAAAAGGAGGAATTTAAAGAATTGGTAGTAATGTGAAAATAAACATGAAGAATAAAAGCATTCTTTTACTTTTCAGGCATATCTAAAATACTACTATAAAATACTACTATAGCATATTAAAATGAAGCTGACCATGTAGGTCTCAATCAAGTTGATTTTTTTTTTACCTGCAAACTATTTTAAAAAATCCGTTACAATTAAGAAACTATTACAATTAATACCACAGTTCTTAATATAAACATTATGACCTATAACAGGTAAATGAAACACACACACACACACACACACACACACACACACACACACAACTTTGTATGCATGCTTAAAAAAAGTAAATTCTTTTTACATATTGTCCTATAGTCTACCATTTCTAAAAATATGCTTAGGCAGCACTTTGCATTCCATTTCCCTAGACTTTACTGTAGGCTTGTAACGTGTGAAAAATAGTCTTTATTTTTATATACATTTTATAATATAGATTCTTTCAATATGTTATTTATATTTTATGCATGTAAAGGAGAAAGGAAATGGTAGAAGTACATTATATAATTTAAATGAGTTTTATTGGAAGGACTGGCATTTAACTGAACAGCGACTGTTTTTATTTTTCACTGATGTACTTGCAAATATAAAGAGCTCTAATTCAGTCCAACGAAGGTACCACTTAAAAACTGCAAGAATGATACTATGAGTTCTAGGGGTTGAATAAAAACTCTATGATACTTACCATACTGTGTAACAAATGCTATACAGCTGTTCACGATAATGGGAACGTCGTTTTTGCTGAGCTGCTGATCTTGTAATGCATTACCATCTGTACCTGCTGCTTTTTCAATTGCAGTATGCCAGACTGTGAAATCCAACTTCGTATGCCCATGGATGTATAATGTTCTGTAAAGTTTAAAAAGCATTTCAAATTATAATTTTGCTTTAAAAAATACTTCTAGACAGATAACCCTTAAATCTATATACATGTGATCTTGTCTAACCCATGAGAAGAAAAACCCTCCATCTATCACCAGCTTCCATTCAATTCCTCTTTTGCCTGTACAGTCACATCTATCCATAGAGAAGAGGAAGTGCTCTGAATTTGTGGTCTCACCTTTCATTCCCCGACCCCTTTTATTCTCTTTCTGCATAACTCAACTGCAACTGTTCTGACTTCTAATAAATATCTGTGGCTGTATTTTTCAATATTTTAGAACTGATGATTTCTTAAACAAAAGACAGAGAGAGACTGAAAATCCACCCGCCTTAAGTAATAAACCATAACACTAATTAATATTAATTTTTAGACACCTTCACACTTTGTTTGTGTGCCACAAACATCTCAAACCTTTCTGCTTCCTCATACCAAACTGGTACTATGATTCTCCACTTATCCTGCCAGAAATTTAGGGTTAATTGTAGATTGGTTCTCTACTACCCCACCTTGCCACTTCCCCATGAACTCAGTCACAAAATTCTGTTGGCTCCAGTTCCCTGGCATATTCACTCTGCCTCCTCTTCATTCTAACACTACTTTATTTCATGTCCTTATATTGCTCCTTGACTCACTAAAACCCCTCTGAACAGACTTCCTTTCCCAATTCCCCACCTCTCTAATCCCTACTCTTCAAGGCTGCCAGAACGAACTTCCTAAAATGCAAAGCTAATAACATCACTTTCTGATTATTGTTCTTCTATAGCTCTGGAGTTTTCAAGATGAAAAGGCCTTCATGATCTGGCCCTGTGTTTCCCCTTCAACTTTGCCAGTGCCCTACAAGGAAGACACACTAAAATACTACATCTCCTTATCTCTGTAATAAATATTTCCTGCTCTTTGGCTGGAAACTAGTGCTCCAGGTAGCCCTCCTGGACACTCTATCCCTGATGTTCCTCCTATGCCCAGTGGTATAACAGGCATTCCTTCTTAATCTTAAACAGCCACTCTGCCCTCCATTATACCATCTGTGAATATTTCAGCTGCTAGACCCCAAACTTTGCACAGGCAAACAAGAAAAACATTTCAGTATCTCTAGTCATTAGCTTAGTGCATTTAACGAGGACATAATAGTTTTAAAGTTCTACACTAGATACAAAAACTGATTTGAAACACCAGTTAAAGTAATTGCTGATGTACATTGACAGCAAAGTAAAGCTATTTAATCTCGATTTCAAACTATGAGAGGGCTACTTTGGAGTCAACCCAAAAAGAGAGGAATGTGCTGAGCTGCATGAAGTTGGGTTGTTGGGTTTTTGCGGGGGGGTTGGAGGGCAGGGAGATGGAACCATTCATAGTCCTGAAAATTCACTGGCCTTAGTTTAAAAAGAAAAGTCCTCCTTTTTTCCTTTTGGTTTCTTTTCTTAAAATGTTCCTCTAAGAGCTACTGGTACCTCACCACACTCACTTCTACCATCTCCTGAACTTGCTGTAGCTACTAGTATTTCACTGACGTCTGTGCCTGCGATCTTCATCTCTTGCTTTTTGACATCTTTATCTATTGTTTTTATTTTACACACCACTATGGCAGCCCTGACCTCTAGATTTTGCAATTTTCTTTCTGAAGAATTCTGACAGTTACTCTAACACTTCTTATATGCGTTAGCCTTTTTTTTTTTTTTTATCTCACATCTTGAGCTCAAAAGCATTCTATTGCTGGGTATATCTGTCTAAATGAAACTGTAATACTCAGGTGATTCCCTTGAAAAATATCACCCCCCCCTTACATTATTGAACCTAACAAAAATTATTGCTAAATTCAGAAGTTTAGATAAAGAGAAATTTTTTAATTTTTTGTCTTGTTTTTTTTTAATCTGAAGATTAAGCTCTAAATTTGATATAAAATATTTGAAACTGTTTGCTTTTAAACAAACAACTACTATGGGTGAGTAATTCAGTGATCAGTGAAAAGAAAATCCAAAATGCAATGGCCCTCCTATAATAGCAGAGTAATTCGGCCATGAACTGTGAATGTTTCAAACTTCAAAATTTCCTTCTCAACAGAAGAAATCCCATGATGACAAGTTTAGCTGTCTCCTTGTGAACTAGTGAAGGGTAGAACAAGTAATGACAAGTTAACTCCTGAGTCGACCTGTCAAAGACTGAGTCCTAAAATATATCGTCTAGTACGGTAGATGTTTGACATTTAACTGCATCAGTTCAGCAACTCTTCTCTCTGATGCTTATCTAAACTCTGTGCACACTGAACAAAGCAACAAAAGATATTTTCGACACAAATGCTGGTGAAGTTTGTGATTTCGTGTGTTATCAAACAATGATTTTACATTTCTGGATTAGAATGCCAAAGAAACATTCATTTACATCTTGAAAATCTGACAAGTTATTTTGAAGAACTGTAATTATAGAGAGAATTATTCTAATTGTCCATACCCCAAGCATAAATTTTAAGTGGGAAGTTCAAAGCCATATAAAGAAACATCTCTAAAACCTATAATGAATCAAGACAGTTCAGTAAGACTCTGAAACCAAGTCCCTTTACTAATAAAAAAAAATATTCTCAAAGTTGCAATATAATAAGCAATCTAGTGACAATCAGAAGTGTCTTCACAAATAACAGAATCGGTAAATTTCACCATATACAAAATAAATTCACTTAGAGTTATTATGCCAAATGAAATACGTCAGACAGAGAAAGATAAATACCAAATGATTTCATTCATATGCGGAATCTAAGGAACAAAAAGAACGAACTAATAAAAAACAGACTCACAAATATAGTGGACACTTTGATGATGGACAGAGGGGAAGAGGGTTGGGGGGCTGGGAGAATGGGGTGAAAGGTTAAAGAAGTACAAATTAGTAGTTGATAGTTGGTTACGAGGATGAGAAGCACAGCAGATGGATGCTGTTAGCATTAATATGATGGCTAGGTAGAGGGCCAGGGGAAGGAGAAAGCAATTGGGGGGATTGTTCTATGAACTATATAGATGTCTAACCAATGTACTGTATACTTGAAACTAATTTAAATAAATAAATTTTTAAAAATTCACTTATATGACTCAAGAACATTTTAAACACAACTAAAAAGCAAATATCAGACCACAAATAGGACTTAAAAAGATATATCCTAAGGAGGTATACAAAAATAAAACACCGAGTTTTCTAGTATAAATCAGCATTTGTTTGACCAAAAACTATTTTTTTATCATTTCTGAAAGATATTTTTGCTGAACAGAATATTTTAGGTTAACAGCTGCTGGTTTGGTTATTTTATTTTGGATCTTTTTTCTCCCTCACACTAGTTTTCAGGAATTAGACTGTGATATATCTTGATGTAGCTTATCTTTATCAAGCTTGAGGTATGTTGATCTTAGTACATGTGTAGGTTTATAGTTTTTAACAAATTCAGAAAATGGTCACCTTTATTCAAAGTTTTTTTTTTTTTTTTTACTCCATCTTTCTCTTCTCTCATTTTCAGATTCTAATTATACTTACATGGCATTGCTTGATAATTGTTCCACAGGTCACTGAGGTTGTTGCTTTTAGTGTTTTCTCTCTGTGCTTAAGTTTTGATCATCTCCACTGTAATGTCTTCAAGCTCATTGATCTTTTTTAAGTATTGTACTTGCATTAAGCCAATCAAGTGAAATTTTTTCAGATACCATATTCTTTAACTTTAGAAGTTTCATTTTTTAGTTATTTTTTTCTCACTATGTTGATATTTTCTTTTACATCTTTGAATGTATTTATAATTTATAATATTTAAAAATCACTGTTTAGATTCTTTGCTAATTTCATTATTTTTCTCATTTCTGGATCAGTTCCTATCAACTGATTTGCAGCTTTTCCACATCACTAGTAATTTTAACCATATGCTAAACATATTGTTACTTGTGGAACAGCTAATTCTTTGGAGGTCTACTTTTGAAACTTAGATAGAAATAGAGCAGCCTTTACTCTTGGGTTAATTTGGCTCTGATACTGTGAATTTACTTTTCTGGGGTCTTTACTAATGCATTCCCTAAGTGTTTAATGAGGTCTGTCTAACATGGCTGGATGGAATTTGCACATACTCCAGCACTGTCTAAGCTCTGGGAATTGTTCAACTCATAGCACCACCATGGGAGTTGTTTCTGCCTGGTTTCTTGGAGTTTCACCTTACAAATATGCAGATTAGTATTGAGCCAAAGACAGATGTGAACTCCTATAAAGATTTCTAAAACTCTTTCTCTACATCTCGCTCTGCTCTGGTAGTCTATCCTGCAAATTTTAGTGACTACACATTCCCTGAACTCCCATCTCTATCTCTTCGATATTGTAAAACCACCACATTCTGCTTGGGTCTCCCTAAGCCTTGTGCCTTGGACTAAGAAATGCTTACAGGTAGGAAGCCAACTTCTTCTGTTTCACTTCTCTCTATTATTACAATCCCGAATGCCTATTGTGCCAAAGCCTAGAAACGGTTTGTTTCATATGTTTTCTCCAGTTTTCTAGTTGTTTGAACTGAGAGGGCATATATGAGGCCAGTTATTTCTTCATGGTCAGAAATGTGAGTCTGGCAAATTTTATTTAGTGACTACAACCATAAATTACCCTCAATTTAGTTTATAGCAATACGATATTTTTTCCCACACCTTTAGAAGAAAAACTGCTGTAGAGAGATGGAATTTTGGCCAGAAACAGCCAAACAATTATTCAGAAACTGCAAATGTAGAAACTGTGTCACAAGAATACAGTATGAAATATTATTTTAAATAACTTGTTTCTTCTGAAGTCAACAGTTCAGTAAAAGGTGTCAGGGCACCTGATTCCCCAGAAAAGGCAAAGTCTTCCGTTTTTCAACCTCATCCGTACACACTATTAAAAAATGATCTACAGGAATGCGAGAAACAGCCCTGTTTCAAGTCTACTCAAAATGTTTAAAGGTGTTCCACTGGTAGCAGAATAA